TGTACTGGGTGTGGCGGACGCATGCATGGACCCAATCTGGGGCCTTCGGTGGAGCTCCCTATGGGGCCACAAAGCGATGTATTGGGTGTGACGGACGCCTGCGGACCCCCTTCTGGGGCGTTCGGTGGAGCTCCTTAAGGGGCCACGAAGCTCTGTACTGGGTCTGCTGGACGCATGCGGGCACTCCCACTGGGGCCTTCGGTGGAGCTCCCTATGGGGCCACGAAGCGCTGTACTGGGTGTGGCGGACGCATGCGGGCACTCCCACTGGGGCGTTCGGTGGAGTTCCCAAGGGGGCCACGAAACGCTGTACTGGGTGTGGCGGACGCATGCGGGCCCCCCCACTGGGGCCTTCGGTGGAGCTCCCTATGGGGCCACGAAGCGATGTACTGGGTGTGGCGGACGCATGCGGGCACTCCAACTGGGGCCTTCGGTGGAGCTCCTTATGGGGGCGGACGCATGCGGGCACTCCAACTGGGGCCTTTGGTGGAGCTCCTTATGGGGCCACGAATCGCTGTACTGGGTGTGGCGGACGCATGCGGGCACCCCCACGGGGGCCTTCGGTGGAGCTCCCTATGGGGCCACGAAGCGCTGTACTGGGTGTGGTGGACCCATGCGGGCACCCCCACTGGGGCCTGGGGGGGAGCTCCCTTTGGCGCCATGAAGCGATGTACTGGGTGTGGCGGACGCATGCGGGCATTCCCACTGGGGCCTTCGGTGGAGCTCCCTACGTGGCCACCATGCGGGCACCCCCGCTGGGGCCTTCGGTGGACCTCCCGATGGGGCCATGACACGTGTCAGTGGGTGTGCCAAAGTGAGGGGGGTGACGGGAGGAGGGAGGAGGATGAGTAGGGGGAGGAGGAGATGAGAGGGGGAATGCGGGGACCGTATCTTCAAAACGAGGACCCAACACCACAGGATGGTTGGGACAAATCACGACGTCAGGGGTCTGGGTCTTGGGGGCACCGCCAGAGGCTTCCTTCTCCGGGTGCCTCTCCGGGCGGGGGGCGGGGGAGGCGGCGGCGCGCGCACGTGGAGGCCCGAGCATTTGGCGGCGTGCACAAAGGAGGTCCCCTGTACGATCCGGCTCGATGCGACTCGACTTGCTGGCCGGGGCCGCGATTCTTCTCCGATCCCAGACCCGACCCCCTCGGGTAATGAAATTAGCCTGGCCAAAGACCCAACCATATGCAGTTGTGAATACCGCACTTGTGCTGGGTGGTGGCGGACGCATGCGGGCGGTCCCATCGGGACCTTCGGTGGAGCTCCCTATGGGTCCACGAAACGCTGTACTGGGTGGGTGAAACGCAGGGAGCAAACGCTGTGCTGGGTGGTGGCGGACGCATGCGGGCGGTGCCACTGGGACCTTCAGTGGAGCCCCCTATGGGGCCTCGAATCGCTGTACTGTGGGTGAAGCGCAGGGACCAAGGGCTGTGCTGGGTGGTGGCGGACGCATGCGGGCGGTGCCACTGGGACCTCCGGTGGAACCCCATTATGGGGCCACGAGGCGCTGTATTGGGTGGGTGAAACGCAGCGAGCAAAGGCTGTGCTGGGTGGTGGCGGACGCATGCGGGCGGTGCCACTGGGACCTTCGGTGGAGCTCCCTATGGGGCCACGAAGCGCTGTACTGGGTGGGTGAAACGCAGGGAGCAAAGGCTGTGCTGGGTGGTGGCGGACGCATGCGGGCGGTGCCACTGGCACTGGCACCTTCGGTAGAGCCTCCTATGGGGCCACGAAGCGCTGTGTTGGGTGGGTGAAACGCATGGAAGAAGGAGGACGGAGGGGAGGAGGGGGAGGAGGAGGAGACGAGGAGAGGAACGCGGGGACCGTCTCCTCAAAACGAGGACCCAACACCACAGGATGGTTGGGAAAAATCACGACGGTAGGTTTTTTTATATTCTCGGCCCCCGGGGGCCTTCTCCAGGCGTCGGGACCGTCAAACAACCACTCAGGATGAAAAACTGGTCCCTGGGAATGGGTCGACCCTCTCAGGGTCGACGTTATGAACAAATCATGATGTCGGGGGTCTGGGATGTGGTTTGGTTCGTTTCGCCAGCATCGGCTGGGGCCTTGCTGGAACCAGGCGCGGCGATTATGTTTCGATTCGATCTGGGGCGGGTCGCTGGCTGTCCGATGCGTTGCCGATCCGACCCAATCTTATTTTGTGATTCGATTCAGCTCAGGCCTGGCATGGGAAAAAGGGACACTTTTTGAGAGGGCCACCCCCGTTGCTTCTCCGGATGCGCTACGCGCGGGGATTCCATGGTGGCTGGTTCCTTTTGAGGAGCCCACTTGGCCCTTCTCGTGATGCCGCCCCACCAGCCAGCCTTTTTTTCTGCTTGCTGCCAGTTAGGAGTAATAATCACGGAGGAGGAGAGACTGAGGGGGAGTAGTTGGAGGAGGAGGGATTGCATGCGGCAGGGATGATTACTGAATATTATGCTGAGGGTGAGGGCGAGGATGATAAGGCCAAGAAGGCCGAGGAATATGATAATCGTTTTCACTGCCTAACTCCTTTCTTCCTCTCCCTCCTCCTCCCTCCTCGTTAACCACGGGGTGGGGGGCAGCAGGAGAGAAGGAGGAAGGAGGACGGAGGAAGGAGGAAGGAGGAAGGCGGAAGGAGGAAGGAGGAAGGAGGAGGAGGAGGAGGAAGAAGAAGAAGAGGAGGACCTCCTCCTCCTCCTCCTCCTCCTCCTCCTCCTCCCCCTCCTCCTGCTTCCCCTCCTCCTCGTCCTCCTCCTCCTTCTCCTCCTCCTCGTCCTCCTCCTCCTCCTCCTCCTCCTCCTCCTCCTCCTCCTCCTCTAGCGCGTCAGATGCTCACGACGCTCGCCGTCCCAACAACCTTGTTTAAGCGGGACCTGCTGCGCACGAGAGCCGATCTAGAGGAGGTGGACATGAAGAGCAGCAGCATCAGGAGCAGGCGGTGCGGCAGGAGGAGGAAAAAGAAGGACGACGACAAGTCATCGAAGCGGGCGAGGATGAGGATAAAGAGGAGAGGACGAGGAGAATAAGCAGGAGAAGAAAAGGAGAAGAAGGAGGACGACAAGAAGAAGCAGGAGGAGGAAAGGAAGGAGGAGGGGGACGAAGGAGCTGGGCGCCGGGCCGAGGTCCAGCCCCGCGAGAGAGCCCCCTCTCCCGAAGGCCAACCATGGGCCGTGGGGCCACGTCGTCACCCAGCGACTCGCCGCCCCGCCCAGATGGCAGGCGTTCGCAGACAGGGATCAAGGGGGCGTGGGTTAGCGACGAGCCCCGTTTTCATAGGACATCGCGGATTTCCGCCGCCGAGCCAGGCGGCACCAGCCGCATTTTGGGGAGGGCACCTCCCCCGAGCCATGGATTTAGCGACCGTGCGCCAAATCCATCGATCGCTAATCCATGTCCGTGCGCCCCCGAATATGGCATACTTCGTAGGGGGACGGTCGGGTCACCTCGGAGGTACCTTACATCGACCAGCGCGCGCAGCTGGGCTGGCTCCCCAGGGCGAGCTGACACGAGGCCCCCCATGGGACTTGCGGACCGCATGGCTTTGCCTCTCAACTGGATGCGCCATCCCTGTGCCTGATGACCAGCGCGAGGCATGGCACCCGCGCCACGGGCGCGGCTCAGGCGCCACATGCTACGGGCAAAGTGCCACGCAGCTGGTGCTAGAACGACGTAGGCCGGTTTGTCTCCCCCCTGCCTCCGCTGGACTTACTGGCAGTGCCCCCGCGTCGTATGACCGTGCGCCAGGATACGGTACTCGGCGGAGCAGTAAGTGCCCCCCCGACGCGGGGGAAGGAGGACAAGGAGGAGGAAGCGGAGGAGGAGGTGGAGGATGAGGAGCAGGTCCCTTGAGGCCCCTGGAGGCTCCAGAAGGGCAGACATCGCGACATAGTCCCTCCTCCTCCTCCTCTTCCTCCTCCTCTTCCTCCTCCTCCTCCTCTTCCTCCTCCTGCGCCTCCCTTTCCTCCTCTACCTTTTTTCATAAGAAATGTTGCCTCCCTGCCGCATCCCCAGGGGTGTCGGTAGGGCGGGCTCAGCGTTCTGCGAGTGAGCTCCCCACCATTTCCGATCCTGCAGTTTGAAGTTTGAAACGGCCTCAAGGATGGACGGCGGGTGGTTTTGAAAATGTGGTTCACGCCGTCGCGCCCTGTACATTTGCCTTGAAAAGTTGCAGCCGTTTGACTGAAGGATCGCGGCCCGTTTTCAAATTGTGGCTCTCGCCTGAGCAAGGCGCGCATTCGTCTTTACGTTTGCAATCTCTTCTAGAATTTGTATGGTTGACATCCCAGGAGTGTCGTTTTGGCACAGAGTAGGACTGTCGGGGAGCAGTAGTCCTGCTGATTCGCGATGTTGAAATCCCAGTAGCGGTGTCCTGGCATGCTTTGGGACTGTCAGGATGCAACAGTCACGTACACTCCAGGCGTCGAAATCCTTGGAATGGTGTTTCGGTGCAGCTGAAGATTCTCAGACGGTTGTCTCCCAAGGGGCACTTCCCAGAATGATGCAATGTAGGGACCTATGGGGAGGGAACTTGGAGGCCTCCTCCTTCTCCTCCTCCTCCTCCTCCTCCTCCTCCTCCTCCTCCTCCCCTCTTCCTCCTTTCTCAGGCGTGCTGCAAGGCGCTCGCACCTGCAGCGTCAGCTTCTCCGTCTCCCTCCCTCCATCCTCCGTTTCCTTCCTCCCTCCCTCCCCCTCCTCTTCCTTCTCCTCCTCCTCTCCCTCCTCCTCCTCTTCCTCCACCTCCTCCCTCCGCCTCCCTCCTCCTCCTCCTCTTCCTCATCTCCTCCTCCTCCTCCTCCTCCCCCGCCTCCTCCTCTTTCTCCTCCTCTCTCTCCTCCTCTTTCTCTCCTCCTCCTTCTCCTCCTCCTCCTCCTCCTCCTCCTCCTCCTCCTCCTCCTCCTCCTCCTCCTCCTCCTCCTCCTCCTCCTCCTCCTCCTCCTCTTCCTCCTCCTCCTCTTCCTCCTCCTCCTCCTCCCCGTCCCTCCCTCCTGCTCCCCACCTCCCTCTCCCCCTCGCCAGGCCCCGGCAGCAGCCGCAGCATCAGGTCTGGACCGTGGAGGTTGCTCCCGTGCGCGGGTCCCTGACCGTATCCTTCCGGCAGGGCTCCGAGTTCGTCGCCCAGAACTGCGTCTCCAGAGCGAAGGCCCGGGTCCGCTACGAGGGGCGCTCTCAGGATGCCGATGTCGATGCCCCGCCCTCGTCGCCGCGGCTGGACTCGCCGCGCAGTCCTGCTCAGAACGCGCCCCTGGAGAGGTCGGCATTGTTCTGCCCCCCAGAATTGAGTCGGGCACGCCCCCCTAGAGGAGGAATGTTCAAGAGTAGAAAAACAGGGGACGATTTGTCGATTCTTCTTCTACGTGTGAGCATTTTGTGACTATCCTGACTTTGTCCTCCAAATCCGCGTGTAGGAGGACGTGCCCGGCCTGACCTCAGAAGCGGGCGCCGAGGGAGCGGGGCCCCGAGGCTTCTCGCTGTCCTGAGGCTTCCCCCCTCCCCCCCCCCCCGGGGGGGGCGCGAGCTGGTCCCCTTGGAGAGGTCCCCCCGCCAGGCATCGCTCGGGCGTGTGCACCTCTTCTCTCGGCGCGGGCCCTCGGGCGCGAAAACTCGGAGGAGGCACGGGGAGCGGGCGTCCGAGCGAGGGGGAGTCGGGGTCCAGGTCTCCCGTGCCCTCCCGGGCCCGCTCCCTCGACGTCGGCCAGGGGGCGGGGCGGCGAAGAGGACGAGGGAGTCGCGGGCCCTCCGGGCTTCTCTGGGCCGCTGCGGGGTCTCCGAATGCCTCCAGAGGGACCCTCGGGGAAGGGAGCGGGCGCGGGAGAGAGAGAGAGAGAGGGAGAAAGGGGAGAGAGAGAGAGAGAGAGAGCGTAGTGGAGGGGGACGACGACGACCGACGACACGACAACGACACGACGACGACGACGACGACGACGACGACGACGACGACGACGACGACGACGACGACGACGACGACGACGACGACGACGACGACGACGACGACGACGACGACGACGACGACGACGACGACGACGACGACCGACCACCGCCGACGACCGACGACGCTGCCGACGACGACGGGGAGAGGGGAACGATGACGAGAGAGGGAGGAGAGGGAGGAGAGGGGTGGGGGCATGTGACGAGGTGGAGGCGTTAGAGTCCAGGCGCAGCGGATCAGTGGTCGGAAGGGTGGCGAGCACTAGTGTCTCTTCCTTGCGAAGGGGCCACGCCTGAGCACTCCAAGTTTCTTCTGGGCATGCCGTTCTTGACCGCACACTCCGCAACATTATATGTCTGCCACGGAGGAGGAGAAGGAGGAGGAGGATGAGGAGGAGGATGCGGAGGAGGAGGAGGGGGAGGAGGAGGAGGATGAGGAGGCGGAGGTTCACTGCCCATAGAGGGAGAGGTCCGGGGGGAGATCGGAAAATTGGGTGGGGTCGCCCATCCGAGGGGATCTTTGTCAGGCCCGTGGCGAGGTTCCAGCCCCCGCCGCGGGCCCCCGACAGGACCACCCCACCCCCAACACTTAGCCGACGTCTTCGTCGGCTTCCACCTGCCGAGCCCGTCTGGTCTGGCCAGCACGACGTTGGTTCCCAGAGCCTCTGCTTGGGCACGATTCTCGAAACCAAGAGCTTTCAAACAAGCCTGGAAGTCGAGACGCGAGGCGGCCTCTGGCAGGGGCTGCTGCATGGCCCCTCCATGCCCATTCCAAAGTGCTCGAACCATCGAGCACGGGTGGCCTCGGAGGGTGCCTTGGGCTCATCCAGCGCCACAGGATGAGGAGGAGGAGGCGGAGGAGAAGGAGGAGGAGGGAGGAGGAGGAGGAGGAGGAGGAGGAGGAGGAGGAGGAGGAGGAGGGAGGAGGAGGAGGAGGAGGAGGAGGAGGAGGAGATGGCGGGAGGAGGAGGAGGATGAGGAAGAGGAGGAGGAGGAGGAGGAGGAGGAGGGAGGAGGAGGAGGAGGAGGAGGAGGAGAGGAGGGAGGGGGGAGGAGATAGGGGGGAGGAGGATGAGGAGGGGAGGAAGAGAGGAGGAGGAAGGCGGAGGGGAGGGAGGAGGAGGAGGAGGCGGAGGAGGAGGAGGAGGATGGGAGAGGAGGGAAGGAGGAGGAGGAGGAGGAGGAGGATGAGGAGGAGGAGGAGAGGAGGAAGAGGAGGCGGATGAGGAGGAGGAAAAGGAGGAGAGGCGAGCAGAGGAGAAGAGGAGGAGGCGGAGGAGGAGGAGCAGGAGGAAGAGGATGATGATGTGGAGGAGGCGGCGGAGGAGGAGGAGGAGGAGGAGGGGGGAGGAGGAGGAGGAGGGGGAGGAGGAGGCGAAGGAGAGAAGGAGGAGGAGGAGGAAGATGGGAAGGAGGCGGAGGAGGAGGAGGAGGAAGAGGAGGAGAGGAGGAGGAGGCGGAGGAGGAGGAGTGGGAGGGGGGGGGGAGGCGCTGGGAGGAGGAGGATAAGGCGGAGGAGGAGAGGCGGAGGGGAGGAAGAGGAGGAGATGGCGGAAAAGGAGGAGCAGGAGGGGGAGGAGGCGGAGGAGGAGGAGACGGAGGAGGAGAAGGATGAGGAAGAGGTGGCGGAGCAGGATGAGGAGGAGGAGGACGAGAAGGGGGAGGATGCGGAGGAGGGGGGGAGGTGGAGGTCGAGGAGGAGGCGGAGGAGGAGGAACCGACCACGTAGTATGAGGAGAGGGGAGGAGGAGGAGATGATGCGGATGATGCTGATGTTCATGTGAGGGTGGTGATGCTGATGCCGTTGATGCTGATGATGTTGATGATCATGACCATGATGGCAATACTGATGCTGCTGATGACGATGATGATGGGGATGCTGAGGATGATGCTGCTGATGATGGTGATGATGCTGATGATGTCCATGCTGCTGCTGGTGATGATGACGCTGATCATGCTGCTAATGCTCATGAGTATGATGGCGATGCCTATGATGATGATGATGCTGAGTATGACGATGGTGATGATAGTGATGATGGTGAAGGTGGTGGTGATGATGAGTCTGGTGGTGACGATGATGCTGATGATGATGAGACTGATGATGATGACGATACTGATGATGCTGAGTATGATGATGATGATAAATGTCTGAACATGATGATTATGCTTATGACGGTGTTATGTGTGATGTTGATGCTTGTGGTGTTGTTGACGATGCGGCTGATGATGAGGATGATGATGCTGACGCCGATGACGATGACGATGACGATGCTGATGATGATGATGCTGATGATGATGATGATGATGATGATGATGATGACGTCGTTGGTGCTGATGAAAATGCTGCTGATGCTGCTGATGCCGACGATGATGATGCTGATGATGATGGTGATGATGATGATGCGGATGATGATGACGCGGCTGATGATAATGCGGATTATGATGGGAATGTTGGCGATGTTGATGATGATGAGGGTGCGTATGCTGATGATGACGATGTCGATGATGATGCTGATGATGCTGCTGATGCTGCCGATGATCATCCGGATGCTGCTGATGATGATGACGACGATGCTGTTGATGATGCTGAGTATGATGAGGTTGATGATGCTGATGATGATGATACTGATACTCATGAACATGATGATGCTGACGATGCTGCTGCTGATGATGATGATGAGGAGGAGGAGGAGGAGAAGGAGATGTGGAGGAGCGGCGGACGAGGAAGAGGAGGATGAGGAGGAGGAGGAGGAGGAGGAGGAGGAAGAGGATGAGGATGCGGATGATGATGATGCTGATGATGATGATGCTGATGATGACGATGATGATGATGATGCTGATGATGATGATGACGCTGATGCTGATGCTGATGATGATGGTGATGATGATGATGGTGGTGATGATGATGCTGATGATGATGATGTTGCTGATGATGATGATAATGATGATGATAATGATGACGATGATGACGATGATGATGATTGATGATGATGATCCTGATGATGATCAGGAGGAGGAGGAGGAGGAGGAGGAGGAGGAAGAGGAGGAGCAGGAGGAGCAGGAGGAAGAAGGGGCGGAGAGGGAGGAGGTATGAGGAGGAGGAGGAGGAGGAGGAGGAGGAGCGGAAGAGGAGGAGGAAGGAGGTGGAGGAGGAGGAGGAGGAGGAGGAGGAGGAGGAGGAGAAGGAGGAGGAGGAGCAAGCAGCAGCAGCAGCAGCAGATGAGGAGAGCTGTGGAGGAGCGGAGGAAGGGAGGAGAAGGCGAAGGAGGAGGAGGAGGAGGTGGAGAGGAGGGAGGAGGAAGGGGAGGAGGATGGCAGAGGAAGAGGAGGAGGCGGAGGAGGAGGATGGATGAGGAGGGATGAGGAGGCTGAGGAGGATGAGAAGGAGGAGGATGAGGCGTTAGAGCGGATGCGGAGGGGTGGAGGAGATAGGAGGAGGAGGAGGAGGAGGAGAGGAGGAGGAGGAGGAGGAGGGGGCGGAAGAGGAGGAGGACGGGGAGGGGGCGGAGGAGGGGGCGGAGGAGGAGGAGGAGGAGGAGGAGGAGGAGGGAGGAGGAGAGGAGCAGAGGAGGAGGAGGAGGAGGAGGAGGAGGAGGAGGAGGAGGAGGAGGAGGAGGAGGAGGAGGAGGGGGAGTGTGCCCGCCCCGTGCCCGCCCTTCGATCGCTAGCTCGCACGGCGGCTTGGCGCGAGAGCCGGGAGGACCCAGCCATATAGGGCGAGGGGCGGCCCTGCGGCGGCCATGCGCGGGCGGCCCCAACGCGGGAAGGCCCCCGGGGAGCCCGGCCAGTGATGCGGAGAGCTCCGAGGGGCCAGCGGCAGTCTGCAGCAGGGCGGGCGGAGGGGGGGGGGGGCATGCCAGAAGCTGGGCGCGCTCGCGCCGCAGCTGATGCTCCCCTCCCTCCCCTCCATCCCTCCCCCGGGATGCAGCTCCTGGGAGGTCGAGTTCTGCATCGGCGCTGGTACTTTCTGCGGTCGATTACCGGCGCAATCTGGGCGAATCGGGCTCAATCCAGTTCAATCCCGCCTATTCCCTGTTATTCTGGCTTGACCCGGCTGAATCCCAGGCTTAATTTTGCCTGATTCGGTTACGTGGTCTTCCAACCGGGCTTACTCGCCATTGATCGTTCCAACGAAGACCTCCCAGGAGTTGCGCTGGCTCGCTCTTATTCGCCGAGCTCGGAGTCGAATCAAACCTGGGTCCGTGTTTGAGCCTT